TTTTTTTCCCCCTACAGGGGGCCGGGGTCCCGGGTGCCGACCCCCGGAACCCCGGAACCCCGGCGGGGTCCCGGGGCCGGGGTTCAACAACCCTGCTTGGAAGTGTGATTGAGAGTGCGATCGTACGAAGGGAAATGTGATGTTGTGTGTGCATGCATGTGAGGACCCCGAAAAGACTAAGGGGCCTACTTCAATAAGTTGGGAAGCAAATTGTGAGATCCGATGGATGCGTAGAGGCGAGGGGAAGGACGGCCCCGCCGCACCCTGATGACGCCATATAGCCAAAATGCTTAGGGAAATGGTGCGTGGCCTAAGGATGACACTTAGCCTACGCACAAGAGAAGAGAAACGTTCAAAGAACCCCTGGACTGCCTGCGTATTGGAAGGAGCAATTGCATGAGAACACCCCAAAGAATATTTAAAAAAAAAGTCAGCGTTGCGGAAACGACCAGCGAGACTACCACCCGGCGTGAGGGCTGAGCTACATCACAAATGTCATAGCTCTCTCGCGCGATGGTCCACCCCCATCTATCTCAAAGCACTAGGTGGGGGTGACCTTGGGACGAATGGCCCGCGCCCTGAGCATGAGTGTGGGCGGGCCGAGCCAACTGGGACCCGCAGTGGGGTCGACTAAGGCTCGAAAGTCTATCAGGGTTTGGCCCTACAAAATTGGTGGAGGTGCCAGGTATGGGGTTAAATTGACCCTTGCGATTCCGATGGGGGCGCCCGACACATTGATGTGTATACAACCCAAGATAAGGAAAATGGACTTATGTTTGCTCTTTCCCTTGTGAGAAATCAGATTTGAGGGCGGTTGGGCACATGGCATGGCCAGGCCTGGAGGAAATACATGCATGTTTTGCACTTGATCAGCCGTTCCTTTGAGGAATGGCTCTAGCCCTCCTTCATCCGGTACTGGTGTTCGCCAGTCCGGGGAAGCCTTGGGCAAGTCGCAGGTCGACCCTTCCTCTTCGTATGAAAGAAGGGCTCCGGTTACCTGGCAGGCGGTTGGTGTTTGGCTTCGGCCGAGCTCCGATGAAAATCCCGCGGCGGAGTGATCCGACCGGACGGGTGTCCTTCTATCCCCTTCTTTGAGCCCACTGGGCTCATGCACTTTGCACTTTTTTTAAAATGCTTGAAGGAACCAATATGAACACAACGGGTCATCAAGAAAGAACAATCATAGCCTATGAAAGGACAGACAAGTGAAGAGAAGGGAATGAAGGGAGTTGCTAGACTCCAAGGAAAACTAGCTCACCCTGGAAGACTCTCACGAGAATGAACCAACCACTATGTATGAAAGTAGGGGGAGTGACACTCATTGTCCTGAGAGAAAATCTGTGAGCTATCGGTAGGAAGCGCTGGGTGCACCAGGGAAAAGACACTTATGTTATGTGTGTCTCACTTAGGGCTTGTGATTGCATGATTGGGATTTCGAGTGTCCTGCCATTCGGAAGGAAAGGATTGGTTTATGCCGACCGGTGCGGGATGCGAACTGGTCGTCCTCTTGGAAGTTCACGGGGTTCCGTGTGTAGGGTTCGGGCCACCGGATTGTCAGACAAGGGTTGGTCTCGTCGGCTGATTAGTAGCATTCTCACCCGAGCGGTCCGAGCATGGCTCGATGACCTTGCCTAGGCGGGATGTGAAACCTCTTCAGAGGGGGCGGCTGCTTGTCGGCGGACGGCAGGGGGACCACTGCATATGGGGCAAGAAAGGAGCCTCGAAGGCGATTAAAAGCTTCTCGTAGCATGGCTTGGGAAAAGTTGTTCCTTATCGGACCGATGGAAGTGAATGCCTGGACAGTTGGCTCCAATGGCCCTACCGAGATGTGCGGGGTGATTCCCGAGATTAACGGTGGGTACACGAGCGGCAAGTCAGGATGGGGTATTACGGGTAAGGAGGAAAGGGCGAATGCCTTGCTGAGACCTGCGTACCGCGCTCGCGATGGTTGAACTGTGCTTGAGGTATGGGATAAAACCCTACTGATAGTACCAGTGGAGAGACCATATTGGAATGGCCTGTGAGGAGATGACCGGCCCGTATGTGGACGGACACTCTTCTAAGTCTATTCCCCCTCCCATCTAAGTCCGCACGAGTGAGAGATGATCGGAAGGAAGGAGGATAGAGGTCAATTGGAATGAAACCAAGAGAAAGAATGTCGGCAAATGGATGACCGGCCGAGGGAATTGTAGGAAGAGGGTACTTAGGAAAGGGGAGGTAAAATAGGGAGACCTTGATGAGGGGTCTGACATAATTCTCATCTAGGACAAGGGTTGACCTGACCAAAAGGATCGGTTGGTGCCCTTTTATGGAAACAGGGGTCGGGTGTTGAAAACAAGATGGCGCGATGGTTGCCTTCCCCGATCTATACCAGTGGCCCAGAAATGCCAGTAGATGTAAAGGATGGGGTATCGGTCATCCTCCCGGAAAATGGAACATGGACGGACCTTGAACCAGCGTATCAAACGGTAATGCTGGAAGGAGAGGATGCTTTCCTTTGGATAGAAACAATATGGACTAATGTCAGTTTGATGAGGTTGTCACCAAGTTTAATGGATTTGGAATTCCGAGGGACAGTGGAAGTTCGGGGGTGGGTCTACTTGTCGCAAGGTGGGGAGAAAGCGATGATCATAGAGTTGGCACTCGGGAATACGCCGGACAAGTTGTTTAGGAAAGCAGAAGCAGAGGTTGTGTGGGCTGCATGCCTACGGAGGGAAATGGAAATGGAAAACGTGGGCGTACGAGTGAAACTTGGGGATAGAGGAAGCATGAGGCGGCCCGTAAGAACCATGCGATGTGTGCTGCCCTCCTTCCTAGTGGATGCGGTTTTTGGGACCCGGAGCAGGCTAGTACGGATATGCCAGTCCATGGTGAACCTCGGGCTATACCAATGCACTAGGCAAAATTTCTTTCGGTTATCAGTAGAAATGGGGTCGTTCGAGGGAAACTGGGCGGAGGAGCTGATCGAGATACTAAACTGCCTTAGCATAGACAATATCTTTGTCCCTAGCGCTGTGCATTGGGGGATAGTCTACAGGAATGTGGCAATAGGGGAGACGTTTCTAGATGGGGTAAGGGAGTTGGTATACGACGAGGAGGAAAACTTCAGTGATGAAGACGAAGATGAAGAGATAGAGGACTGGGACTTCTAAGAGGGGTGGGGAAACTTAACTTAGTGAGGACGGGTGACCTGGTATTGTGCAGGAAAGGGAAAGATGACTAGAGAAGAAAGGATGATGGAATACCCCTTCAAAGGCTGGGAACCACGGCGACTTCGAGGAGGAATAAAAATGCCTATACCAACAGGGAACGGATGGAGAGGGACCACGTGCGACTGGATTGGGTTTGAGGTTGTCCGGGACTTGTCATATGTATGGATAAAGCGGATTTGGAACCCGATAAGGGAAGAGGAAGGTTGGGATGATATAGCAGAAGACAAGGTAGAGTCCGTTGGAACGATTGTCCTTTCCGAGGATGGATGACACCTGTTTTGCACCATGTTAGCAATGGGACAGGACCCGATGTGGCTTCTAGGGGATGCAGAGGCCCGAACGCGAAAGGAAGGCAAGCTGTTCGCCAACGAGGGATGGGACGAAATTAGTAGCAGAGTTGCGATGGGAGGGTGGAAGGAACTCAAACCTCCAAGTCTACGGATAACGACTTGGGTACCGGAATTCATAGTCGAGTGGTTTGGGGGGTTTTAGCACATTTTTGAAGTAGCCGACTCCATGAGAAGGATGCATATAGAGTGTGCCTGGTTGACTGAGGAGTTCTATAGGCTCTCATTGAAATATGAACCCTTCTAAGGAGATAAAAACGAGGAAGTCATCATCGTCCTAAGAATAGGCAGGTATGACCGCCTAGAGGTGGGGGCAGAGTTTTGGGACGCCATAGTTAGCCGGGAGGCGGCGACTGCACCCTCCTACGTAGACGACGTCTTTAAACTATTTGAGGTACTGTGGTTCGACTTAATGAGGCCAAGGAATCAAACACAGCGAAAAGGCCTGAGTATGGAGGGTGCTTGTGAAGTAAGGTGTAACATAAGAAAGGGAATGTGTACATTAGGCCGTAGATGGTGCATAAGGATCGAAACAAGGGGGAAGTGACAGCAACTGGAAAATGGGGGTCGGATAAAATTGAACGTGTATGAGTTGGGGATAGCGGCAGGAACCAGTGTACGATAAGTAGGGAGGGTTCAAAGACTAAAACATGAAAGGCATGGAATCTCGGTGGGTGCAGCGATCGGACTAAGAAAGCAGGAAAGGAAACATTGCGAGATGGTCCGGCGAATGACGTTCTGGGCGGATAGACCTCGTGGGATCCTGCCACCAAGAATATCAGAGGGCAGGGTCGAAATAAGCCTGCCGGCGAGAAATACGGTAGGCAATCCAGTAATGGACTGGGTGGGGGTAGAGTTGGTGGAAGATATGGTGTACCTAGTAGTGAGGCTAGAATGACGGGCGAGAGGGGAGTTTGGGGGCGTAGACTTGAACCGCCCAGGGCGTGTACACACGACGGGATCCTTACACCTGTCGGAAGAGGGATGGCGGACCTTTGGGATTGCTTTGGCTTCCGGGTATGACCCCGTGCGAATGTTCGAAGGAGCATGGCAAATAACATGGCGGGRGGGGKTTGAGTTTGCAGATCCGGAACGAGATGACGTGACGGCTGAGGTAAAAGTCACCGCAGCAGGGGTCTTTGAGCTGCCAAATGAGATCGTACGGATGAGTCTGCCGCCCTTCCTGCTAAGACGAATGGGAGGCATAGAACGAGTGGAGCAGGCGGTAATTGCCGTAAGTAGGCTAAATTTTGACGAAGCGATAATGTATCGAGAGTACTATCGGGCCTTTCTAGAGATGGGGCCTTTCGGGGACGAACAAGGGGGCGAGGTGCTTTGCATTCTACGAGCAGCGATGAATGCTAGACCAGGAGTCTCACAAATAAGTGATGAGACCATGTGGAGATTCATCCGGCGAGAGGTAGATCGGGGCGCGACCTACATAGATGATCTCTACCGGCTGTATGAACAACCCGAGGAGGCTACTGCTCCCAGGGGTATAGAGGGATAGTTGGGACTAGAAAGGAAAATGAAAACACGAAGGACAAGGGGGCAGTAGGTGGACGGTTTCTAAGGATTGGCTATAACATTTTTTATGTGGATCATGCAGGAAATCACCAAGGTAACCATGGCAGCAACACGTGAGCATATAGAACTTCAGGCCCGTGTGCGAATGGCGCGCCAACCCCGGTACCCCGGACCGCTGTGGAATAACGGTGGACGCTGGGAAGTATCCCTCCCGCCGAGTTCAACTTATCAGGGGTTCGATATAGAATGGCGGGCTGTGACTTTGGGGAGGGACGCCGCCTTCATGTTGGTAGAATATCGGTGGACAGGGATGAAACTCGACTGAGGACCAGGGGACGATCTGTTTTCCAATCTGGAAGTTACCGGAACCATGTATCTGCCTGAGATCGGCTGACACTCTTTGGGGGTAGAGATAGCACAAGGTCACGAGCTGGCGCCGGTTTTTTAAAGGGCCGCCCGGACGTTGACCCGGATAGGACAATCAGTCATGGGTAGAAGGAACGTGGGCTTACTTACCCGGGTGGAAATGGGGGGATGGCGTGAATTCAGAGCACCAATCACGCCGCTGAGGTGCCGGGGCCCCCGTTTTATGATAGATCTCGTCTTCGGAAGCCTCGCAAGGGAGCGGGAGCTGGCAGACTCGGCAATAATGTGGGCAGACCACTTCCCCTCTCTAACCATCGGGATGTTCTATGATGTCGCTGTGAGGCATGGACCGTTCTGGGAAAACAGGGCCCACGAGTTATTGGAGGTCATCCATATCCTGATATTTCGTGCACCCTGGCTAGACCAGATAGGGCACGAACGCATAATCGAAAGGGAAATCAAGATAGGAGAGAGCTATTTGGCAGGGGTGGCTAAGTTATTCGAGGAGCCGATCGAACCGGAAGAACCACGAGGGCGTGAGCGGGACTAGGATCCGCAGGCAGGCCAATAGGGCAGATCCAATATAATTCGCTGCGTACGAAAAACCGCCGATCGGAATAAGAAAGGGGCCTCGGACCCGGATGGCTAAAACCCACTAGAAAAACAAAGAAGGGGGTAGACTCCTAATGAGTGACCATAACCCGGAAGGTAAGAAAAACGGAAAACGCTGCTCAGGGAGGCTTCCCCTAGCGGGATGCCTAACCCGGACTCCCTCGCCTCTGCCGACGGGACAAGGGCACTACAAACGGGCTTGTGATAAAGGAAGCCCAGTCACGTTCATAGCTCGGCTGGGCGGCAGGGCCAGTCGTGGCTCCTCCTTAAGGAAGGGCAATCAGGAAACGGGGATAGGAAAGGAGACTATAAAGATAAGCCAACAGAGCTAGGGGCCTAGGGAACCTAAAAACCTCGCATTGCGTGTGTCCTGGGAATTCTTTGGCTTATGCAGAACTAGGCAAAATGACAACGGAGGAGGAGACAGATAACGATAAGAATGAAGGAGAACCAGGCTTAGAAGGCAGTGCCGCGCAAAGCGAAGGGGGGCAGAAGGACAGAGAATCGATAAATCCGGATGGTACCAAAGGGAAGCGGAAGGAAATCTCCACAGGAGAAAGCTCGGGGAAAGTCGGGGGAAGCAGGCAAGGGACCCAGGGGACCAAGGAAGGCAGAAATAAGGATAGGACAAGCCCCCAAAACTCGGAAGGAGCCATGCCTAAGAAAGTAAGGGTCRCGGAYACRAGGCGCAAACTAGCCGAGATAGACAAGAGGACCGCGGAATACAAGGCAAGAYTGATTGAGGAAATGATGACTGGGAACGAAGAAGGTCCTCTGCAGGAGGAACCYYGGGACGAACGGAAAGCCAGCCAAGGTGGGACTGAACAAGGGGATAAAGGTAGTGACCGTGGGGGAACGCCGAGCAAGAGAAGGAAAGAGAGAGAGAACTCTCCGGGGATGGAAGCAGAAAAGGCTACGACTCCACCAGCCATGGATAGTAGGGCTAGCTGCCTGCCGATCACCGCAGCAGTAGCGCGAGGATGCGAAAGACTTTGGAGCCTTAGGGAAAGAGTGTTGGGATGGTTTGACCCGGAAGGGACTATGAGAACCAGGGAGGAACAGAAGGCCGACAAGGAGAATCCGGATAGCAGTGTGGCGGGCGAGGCCAGCAGCTCCAGGGGCGGCCTTAAGAAGATAGTGTCGTCCCTCGCGCGAGCACTAAACAAAAATCAAGGCTATCTGGCAGATGCCAAGAAAAAACTGACTTTCGATGGAGCAAACATCACGGAGTTCCTGATCGACTACGAGAACCTAGCTGCGTTACTAAAGTGGACCGAGGAGGAAAAGATGGACCACCTAGGACAGCATGTGTCGTTAAGCCTAGGACGGGACATAATGGTAATTGTAGCCTCAAGCCGGTCTTGGAAGGAGACCCGGGATGTGATAATGAGGAAGTACCTGGCGGCGGAGAAAATGGCAATGGAGGCCGACCTAGCGGCAGTTCAGAGGAAGAACTTCGCAACGTACAACGATTTTCTACGGAAATTTACTCTAGTAGCACTAAGGATCCCCGGGGTCACGAACCGGATAATGAGCAAATATTTCCTCAGGCAGTTCTCCGAGTTCGACAAAGACAAGATCCTGTCAGCCTACCAACAGACGAGCAAGTTCGTAAACACGCGGGATGTTGATTTTAGCACGGTAATAGATCTGACTGAGAAAACGGTAGTAATGGAGACGTTGGCCTTGCTCAAGGAAGGAGAGATCATAGATCTGACCGGTAGGACGAGCGACAAGGTAAAGAAAGGGATTGAAAGTCTACATGAGCGGGTGCACGGGGTCGACAATAAGATTGAAAGGATGGAAGACGCGCTAATGGTTATGCAAGCGCAAGTATCCCGACCTTCCCTCCCTCCCCAGGAAGCTGTGGTCCCGCCAGGTGTAGCAAACCGGGGATACGGACGAAGAGATCCTGCTAACGAGCAATGCAAGTACTGCACCGCGATAGGACATTATGTGCGCGCATGCCCAAAGCTCAACCATGATATTCTGAAAAAAAGGTGTACCAGATCGGTAAAGGGGGAAATATTTGGACCACAAGGGGAATGAGTGAACTCGAACTCGCCAGGAGGGATGCGGCGAGCCATTATCATGCTCAACGGGCTAGAAATAACAGCCGTAGAAGCCGAGCCGGTGGGCGAGATCATCTGGGATCAACGCCAGGGGCGCGGGCCGCAGGTCAATTTTATTTTGGAAAAAGACAGACGTGATAGGGTGAACGCGACTACTCGGCTAGGGACGACTGGGAGAAGGATTAACCGCGACACCGTGATAGAGGAGGTTGCTGGAAGTTCGGAACCCCAAGCAGAGCCTGAGGCCGAGGAACCGGAAAAGGTCTATGGGAAACCTAGGGAAGAGGAGCCTGCCGACAAAGTTACCGCTATCAAGAAGAAGTTTAGGTACCAAATCCCGATCTTATCCTTGCTAGAAATCGACGACACCATTAGCAAGTTACTAGGAACCATGGTGTCAGTGTCTTTTCAGACTATGCTACAGGCTAACCCTAGGTTGCTCAAAGGGCTTAGACAACTGTTGACCCGGCGGCGAGTAGAAATAGGCGACAACCCCGAATTACCAGAAGGGGAGAGGGAGGACGAAGTTTCGCGAGAAGTGGCTAACCTGCAGAGAAGTCGAGGGGACTTGGAGGATCTCGAAAAGGCCTTTGCAGACATCCGTTTGAGCTTGCCCGACCGAGAGGGTGGCGAAGTCATGAGATCGCCACCCGGGACGAAGCTTAGCTTTCATGCGCTACCCGTAGGGAAACTGAAAATCCAGATCGGGAGTCATCACACCGACGCATTAGTAGACGGGGGAGCAGAAATCACTCTCATAAGGAGAGATTTCGCAACGATCACGGGATGTACGGTAAACAAGGAAGTAACAGGGAGCATCCGGGGAGCTGGCGGGGAAATCCCGTTCGTTGGGTACGTCACAAAGTGTGCTGTAAAGGCAGGGGTCAGGGAATCGATCTGGTCGTTTCAGCGAATGACCGTAATGGAGGAAATGGACCACGACATAATCCTCGGGAGACCATGGTTCGCGAACATAGAGATGATAGGCATGCACTTGCACGATGGCTCGTACATGGTAGACATAGAGGACCATGTGACCGGCCGGGGAGAGCTCCTTCGACTCCTTGGAATGGGAGGAGACCCCCCGAAGGGAAAACTGGCAACATGGTCGATGTCGTTCGAGGATAGCACGCGGAAAGGGGCTTTCGCACGGATGGAGGGTATGAGAGAAAGGGCAGAAATCATGATTGAGGAAACATTCAACAAAAAGGAGTGGATCAAGATTAGCCTGCCCCAGAAGAAGAGGACGCAGAAGGACGAAGTCCTAGGTGTTATGGTAGCGGAAAAGGAGTGAGAGGTCGAACTTGGTGCTAGCCTACCCAAACGGAAAGAAGTACGCATAGACGTGCCGAAAATCGCACTCGAGATCCCTGATCTATTGCAACTCATCAAGACCCTCAGATACCACAAGGTAGGAGTGGATTCGACAGCCTTGGCCAAGTTCGAAAGAGAGGTGCAAAAGGGATATTGCCTGAATGAGAAACTAGTTATTATTCAACCACGAGTCGTAGAGGTGACGGGGGCAATTCCGACTGTTTATTTTTTAGGAGAAAGATCCCGGAAGGAAGTGTTCGAAAGTACAAGCCGGTAGGGTAGAAAGCAAAACCGGTTTCGATCCTGCTAGAGACGTCAAGGGAAGAGGCTATGGAAAAGGAGGAAGAGGTCCTTTGAGTGATCTGAGAGAGAAGGGCGACGGAGGGACATCGGATACCAGATGAGGTAGCAGACACGATGAAGATAGGGATAGACGGGTTCTTAACGGAAGAAGAAACTCGCCTGATCAAAAGGACCTGCCAGGAGTTTCACCTGACATTCGCCTTTAGTGATCACCAGAAGGGACGACTGGATGCGAAGTTGATCCCTCAGGTCAGAATCCACACAGTAGAACATGAGTGTTGGAATGATAAGGGGTCATCCTATGAATTTGGGATAGTAGGAGAAGTAACAGACCTCCTCCGAGCGAAGATGGACTCCTTCGTTGCGGAGCCTACGGCATCGCCATACGCAAATCGGTGGTTCGTCTTTCGGAAGCCTAACAAGACGCTAAGGTGGATTCAGGAACTGTAGAAGTTGAATGCGGTAACCATCCGGGATGTTGTCTCGCTATCTCAGGCTGACTTATTAGCAGAATCGCACGCCGATCGGAGCATTTACTCCCTGATAGATCTGTACTCAGGGTACGACCAGCTTCCATTGGATGTTCGGGACATGCCATACACAGCTATGCACACCCCTGTAGGCCAGCTACAGATGCAAGTGACACCTATGGGATTCACAAACACGGTGGCCGAAGCGAAACGCAGGATGTTCGCTGTGGCCGGGGACATGTTCCCAGAAAAATGTGAACCTTACATCGATGACAATCCGATCAAAGGCGCGCAGGAGAAGGACGAGACGGAAGTCCAGCCAAGGATCCGACGTTTTGTATGGGACCACCTGCAGGACATCAAGGATCTACTCCGATGGTTCCTAGTATACAACATCACGGCTAGTGGACCGAAGAGTATCCTAGCAGTACCGGAGGTAACTATACTAGGATTTCGTTGCGGTGCTTACGACAGGAAGCCGGATCCGGCAAAAACCGACAAGATATCATGACCGACACCGTTGCGCACGACAACGGAGGTAAGGGCATTCCTAGGCGTAGTCGGCTTTTGGAGGATCTTCATTAAGAACTTTGTCAAGATTGCTGAGTCTATCCGGGCTATGATCAGAGAAGAAGTAACCATGGATTAGACGGAGGAGCGAGAAGGAGCTGTCCAAAGGCTCAAGGACATATTGACATCAGAGACAGTCGCCCTGTCCGCGCCTTGTTTTAATGACGAAGTGGGATGACCCTTCATCCTAGAGACTGGTGGAGGACCTTTGGCCGTAGGAGGTGTGTTGATTCAAAAGGATAAGGAAGGAAAAGAGAGGTCAATTAAGTTCGAAAGTAGAACCCTGAACTCCGCAGAACAGCGGTACTCGCAATTCAGAAAGAAATCTTAGCCATCCTGCATTGCCTTAAGACCTTTCAGGCCTACCTATTTGGGAGGCGGTTCATCTTAAGGATTGATCCGGCGAATGTCGCAGGGGCTCTAAAGAATTACAGGCCTATAGATCCGACGGTAGGGAGATGGGTAGGATTCATCTGGCAGTTCGATTACAAGATCGAACGGATTGCTGGAATCTGCAACAAGCCAGATGGGCTGAGTCGGGTTTGCATCACTCTCGAAAGGATGGAGGATGCAGAGCCCATAGACACCTTCCTCGAATACGAAGGAGGAACTCTTGCGGTGGACAACGAAATGATGAGCGGAGAATGCACATCGGGAGAACTATTGATCCAGACTTTGGAGAAGGGCGCACCTGCCGTAGTAGCAGAACTGGCAGAAGGACCAGTCACCACTCGAGGACACAGGGAAGAAAATGACTCATGGGGAGCGATAGTAGGACCGAAGGAGGAGCTAATGGCAATGGCGGTCGAGGGAGGTTGGGAGGCAGTAATGAGCTTAGTGGAATCTTGGGAAAGGAAAGAGTTGCAATGGGTGGTAAATCAGATGCAGGAAGGAAAGGATGGGGGCAAGGAAGGAGAGTTTTTCTATGTCCAATCCTACGAAGGGCTCTTTCGGGAGATCGGATTGTTGTTGGTAGGAAACAAACAACCTACGAAAGTCGGTACTAAGGCAAGAGAAGAAGCCGAAAGGTACGTCCTAAGGGGCGGACATTTGTTCCGAAGCGAGGAAGGTGCTATGCCTAGGAGGGTTGTGTGCGGAAGATCTAGGCAAGTAGACGTTATCCAGGCAATGCACGATGGGTTAGTTGGAGGTCATCGGTCGTCCAAAGGAACACTTGCAAAGATAACGCCGCTCTATTATTGGTCAGGCATGGCAGGCATTGTCGCCATATACTGCCAGACTTGCCTTATTTGCCAAGAACGAAGCTCGGTATGAGTCTTCGAGCCGCTTTCTTCCACATTTGCCCTTCCCTCTTCGCCCTCACTGTCAGATGATATTTCTATACCCTTTCCCTCGCGGAGGGGTGAGGGTTTCCAACACAAGCATTTCCTTCCACCCCTGCCTACCACTGGCCCGCCCATGAGCCCAATGTACAATTTTATCTTCGTCGTCCTCCTCCCTTGGCTTGGTCCAGCTTCTTCCCCTCCGGTAGGCCTGTTAATTGCCCCGCTGTCGTTCTCGTTGTCGAATGCCATTTTTGTATTTTCTCGTTTTACTCCTAAGACCTGTATAACAAAACAACACCCGCAATGTCCCTCATATACTTACGCCTCCCCCCCCCTTAGGCCGGTAGACATTCCCAAAATGCACCCAGTATCCCTCGCATCACGCCTTTTTTTTTTTGTACATGCGAATGCGTCGTTTGTGATGACCCCATATTTTTCCCGTAAAAAACTATGGTACAATGCCCCAAACATCCCTTCCCGTTGTCACACAAGCCAGATATTGCAAACCCCCAAGTCATGCTACCTTTCAACCTCAGTCAGTCCAAGCCAAAACACCAGTAAAAAAAAATGACAGTCCCACGAACATGGTCAGAGATAAGCCATAGTGTGGGCAAGGTTGTGGTTAGTCTTTAGCTTGTGGCTCCTCTGTTTCCTTATCTTCGGCCTCCTGAAGCCATTGTACCACTGGGTCCCGACTTAGAAACTTGACCACTCGTTGCCCCGGAAAGGGCCCTTTCAATTCACTCCCATCCAAATTTTCTAGTTCGAAGGTGTTCAGTCCCACCTGCTTGGCGACCCGGTAGGGGTCTTTGAACCTCCTTCCCACCTGTCCCGACCAAGTACTTTCTAGTGCCGAGTTCCTTAGCAATACCATCTCCCCTACCTGAAGTGGCTCCTTTCTGACATTCTTAATTTGGTCCCACCTTGCTTTGTCGCTCATTCTGCTGTCCAGCACCCGGCTAGCGATGTCTTCCATCACCTCCTCATTCTTAAGGATTTGTTGAAATCTTGCCTCGATTAACTCTTCAGTAGTCATTTGTGGATCATCATCTAACCTATTCCAGGTAGGTACCAAGGCTTCCACAGGAAAGTCGATCTCTCTTCCGTACCAAAGCTCTGTCGGGATACATCCTATTGTCCATTTAGGAGTCATATTCTCTGCAAAGACAGCCTGCTTAAGATACCTGGGCCAGTTCCCCAGATGGTCTGCTGTGAGCTTTGCAATTGTGTTTTTCAAGGTTCAGTGCCCCCTTTCCACAAGTGCATTGGCCTCAGGGTGATACGGCTCGATGAGCTTGATCGGAACGCAGAGTCTCTTAAGCATCCCCAATACTTCTTGGTTCACAAATTTCGTCCCATTGTCTGCTTTAAACCTCCTGACGAACGGATGCCTTAAGTAGAAGTCTTCTATCCAGTCCGCCACACTCCTCCCTGTCTTTTTCTTGAGGGTGACAGCCTCCACGAACCCACCCAAGTTGTCTCGTGCATCCAGGATATACCTGTACCCATTCGTTGATACAGGCATGACAACAAGTTTGCTAAGGAGGAAGTGAAAAGAGGGTCAGCCAAGGCTGTGTCACGCTAAAGTAGAAGATAGTTTTTTTTTAGGCTACTTTTTGGATGAGCTACCTTGGGTACCTAAGACAAAGACATGGGATTTGGGATGAGACCAATTGGGAGAGGGCGTATTGTGAATTTTTAGATGGAACAAGGATTATGCTTTTGAGTGGGGAAAACCTTGAGTACGGATTGACGAGCAAACCATGACATTGAGTGATTGGTCGAGTATAAAAGAGGTTAGGGAACCTATGGGTTAAGGAGCGTACAGAACACTCCTTCCCTAGGAGCCTAATCCAACTGAGTCATGAATGAGACTGAGAATAGCTGAAACATGAGAGATCAGGAAGAGTGAAAATGGAAAGGGCGCTTTTGTCTTTTGTTATGGATGAACGGCCGAGTGGGCTAGTGCTGCTTGGGGTCGCGAGCCCCAATTCGAGTGCTAGACGCTAAGTTGGATGTACGCATGGATGATACATTACTGAGAGAAATGGAATGGATGGTACATTACGGAGAGAAATGAAATGGATAGTACATTACTGAGAGAAATGAAATGGATGGTACATTACTGTGAGAAATGGAATGGATGGTACATTACTGTGAGAAATTGAATGGGGGGTACATTACTATGAGAAATGGAAGAGAGAGAGCAGTATGCAAAAAAATAAGATGGCCACCTTCTAACCTCCAAGACAGAAATGGGATCCGTAACCTCGAGGCCCAACCCCTCGGGCGCTAACATTGAGAATGGAAAGGAATGACCCTAACCAGGCTGTTCGACTTGAGAATGGAAAGGAATGACCCTAACCAGGCTGTTCGACTTGAGAATGGAAAAGAATGATCCTAACCAGGCTGTTCGACTT